GAAAGTGCGAGGCATGAAATAGCCGGTGTACATACCACACGACAGGCATGTCAAGATAAGCTATCTTCGTCACGCAACTTTAGCTGTTACTTGCGACACAACCACGCGTAACGGTACACACATCGTGACAAGGAAAATATGCAGCCAGCTGGGGTTATCCAGATCATCGTATGTCTTCAAACCACAAAACACCATCTTCTGCTTCTTCCTGCACTGGTGCACACTAACTCCCCCCCCCACGTGTTCGACTGCCCGAGCCAAAATTGGAACACTGCACTGCCGCTATGCGAAAATTTGAGAAAATTAGAATGGTAGCTATGTCTTAATGAATTCGCCTTCCAGGGAATCTGTAATTAAAGCTGCGATTTCATTGGTTCATTGGCAATGGAATCTCAGTTATTTCGTTTTCAAAGGGGGTTTGCACAATTCCACGTTCACCACCGAAAGTTGTTTTGGTCACCGGAGTGGTTAAAATTGGCATGTGGATTCTCACCATCAGGTCCAGCGCGCATCCAGGCGCACACTCGCGGACGTAACAGATCGAATAGTCCATGTGCAGAGGCGATGGGTCACCGTTCAATGGCAGAAGGCATCCGGGCTGGGTCGTCGCTCCGAACGCAGAAAACCAAACAACCGCGTAACAACCGGATTGACCAACCGAGCCGCAGGCAAAATATCAAATCGGCCTTCTGGTAGTCGACTTTCATTCAATGGATGGGTTGAACTGGCTCGGGCGATCCAGCCGAAATGAGAAGTCTAAACGACGACAATGACAAGTTCGCGGATGTTGCGCAAGAGCAATCTGTCTCGCCGACCAGGACGGATGACAGCTGTTGACGAGGTGTCCGGTTGAATGATTGGCGGAGTTTCTGTCTACATTTTCGAGTTCTGTGATCCCGAAGGAATCGTATGTGTGATGTCATGGATGCTTTGTTGGTTGTTTGTAGGATGGTAAGCAATGTATCGGCTGAGTTTGATTACCAGGGTTTTGAAAAAAGTTCATATGGAAAAGTAATTATGCATTGAGCACGTAAACAATGCTCGTGAGCTTATGTACGTCAGGTATGAAGTTCGCATGTCAGGAGCACTTACGTAAAGGCTCATATGGCAGGAGTACGTATGTAAAAGTTTGTATGGCAGAAGCATATGTGAAAATATTATGTATATATATATATATATATATATATATATATAACATATAGTTTTCCATAGGTTGTGTGCAAAAGTTGATAAGCATATTATTGTATGTTATTAAATACGCACGTAAGGTATTGATATTAAGAAGACTGCCAGGAGGAAAAAAGACTGAAGCATCGCACATGCCCATAAACAACTGTATGTAGTAAAGGTCCGTAATGGATAAAATTATCCCCACAAAAGCGCATATTTACAAGTTTGTAAGCACAGGTAATAAAGTAGCAAGTGTGTACAAATATTACTTCTATAAGGAGGGTCCACAGACGGATCGACCATCCGGGTACCAAATGACATACCGTGAGTTCTCAGATTTAGCTATAAAATGATCTCTACGAGATGACTTAAGGCACAGGTTTCACTGTGTAATTTCTAGCTCTATACGGCGTGTATTTAAAAGTGATGGCCTCTGGGCAATATTTGGTCGGTTGCAGACGGAGTCCTAACCACAGCGGGAAAATTTAATCAGGTAAAGCAAGCGTCTTGTCCTACCTAGATCATGGTTAACTTTACATAAGGGATCGTTTCCTATGTGTCACTTACACTACTGCCCGTCGTATTCCACAATGCAGCTGACACCTGCCGCGACCGTCAGCTCGCGTCAGTGGCGTGGTCAGCTGGCGTCAGGGGCGAGGTCAGGCGGCGGCAGGCGGAGTGCTCAGCAGAGGCGTCGTCAGGGTGAGAGGTAGAATGAAAGCATGTTTTTGCTTTTTAACACGCGCCCAGCTGGCCAGTTGAATACCACTCCCTCAGGTGTGGGGGGGGGGGGGGGGGGGGAGGGGGAGGGAGGCACACTAACACACCGAGATCTCAGACACTAAGAAAGCTGGAGACACTTATTTTACAGGGTGTATTGATTTTTACGTAAACTTACTTGTGTCAAAATTTGAGGGTTTTAAGTAATGGTCTTCGGGTCAATTGAGGTCAAACAGGTCAAACTCTAGATATGTGCTGAAAGTGATAAAAAAAGCCTTTGGAAGAGGCGAAATTGTCCCCCACCAGAGCACATGCTAAGCTTCGAATAGCCCTGGTAGGGAGAAATTTAACACCACAATTATCCATAACAGAATTCCCTTGCTTATAAGCAGCAAACCGCCGTTGTACCATACTTACGTATTTTTAAACACTTTTTAACACCCGCGCGAGCAACCGGTTACTTACCACGCGCTCCGGCGCGGGCGGGAGGTGGGGGCCAATTGGACTCCAGTGATCTAAGAATAAAACGAGCTGTATACAACATTCGCAAGGTTGGTTGGCCTGCGTGTGAACTCCCTTTTATGTAAATTTTAAGTTCCTTCATTGCGACATTTGGGTCAAATAAGATAACACAATGTCGAAATTCAGATTGGTGCACGAAGTGCCCCTACACTTCCTCATGCAGCCGCCTAGAGCCTAAATACCTGTTGTTAGCAAAATGTCACTATTGGTTATTTCAGATCAATGATATTGCTTGACCTTTAGAAGGGCATGGCAACCAAAATCTGCGGATTTTGTTTTGTTTTGTTTTGTTTTGATAAGCATCAAGGATTGCGCTAAGCAGTTTATTGCCAAAAACAAGATGTTGATCTGGGTCATTTGGGGTCAGAGACGTACTCTGACCTTTGATAAACCCACGAGAGGTGCCTGCTGCAGTCTCTGCTTTAAACATTTGAAACGAGCGTCATAGACTATCCCATAAAGCCCAATACCCCATACTCCAGTACAAAGCCGCTTGGTTTTGACCTTAGACTGACCTTCATATCTGTCCCAAGGTCAATAGTTTTTTGTTGCAACCCTGAATTAAATTGCCTAATTGTCTTAGAAGCTATATCAGAGATGCACGGCTTGGTCGTATTTCGTTGAAGTATCAGCTCGAACGATTCCCCAGAAATTGCCCCCACTGTTAGCCACGGCCTGGTTTTGACCTGCCCTAAGTCAGCGACCTTACAGGGTATATCTGAATTTGCATACCAAAAGTTCTGCTCTTCAATTGCTACAGCTACGTAAAGTTTGGCGTGACTTATCCGTTATCCCTATTTATAATCCATTCGGAAATTGTTCTAGGAAACCTTAGGGGTGGACTCAAATTATCCCCACTCTCCACCTAAGCGCATGTCAAATCTCTGTAGGGCATTGTTTGCAGAAAATCGCTCATAAGAGGTAAGCCGCTAGGAAAGAAACGTTTAAGACTTTTAAAAAGTTTTGAAAAGTCTCGCACGGTGATCCTTTGTGAAAACGGCTATCACGAGCTTTTTGACGTTACGAGGTTAAGACCCTAACGTACTTTATCGTGACAATCTTAAGGCATACGAAACTCAAGCCGGCGAAAATTGTCATGCGGGCTTTTCCATACCTACCTTTGTCCTCAACTCGACTATCAACGTTCCGGTTGCAAACCTGTTGCCAAAAATTGTTTTACCGGGCGATATACCACGCGGCGTCGGCAGGACGTTGCCTGAACAAGCCAGCGCCGTGTAACTAGCTGCTCTACTCTGAAGGTGCAGGGACATTACGGCACACGACGATGACGCACCTCAGGCCCTGTCCCTGTTCACTGGGCAACACACCTTACGGGCGAGTGTGCCGCAGTGTGATGAAAATGGTGCTGCCACTGGCATCCAATTGTGGACCCAGCAGGTCCAGACGACACCTGACGCACGCGTGGCGGCTAGGCGACCGTCACGCAGCTGGTTGATTCGGAGACACACCAAAAACACGCGAGGACTTGCGGGAACGCATGCGAAATGATGGTCTACTGCGTATCACTTGGGTACGATTAGATTACCGTGCATCTGCTTACGAGTTCAACATGATATCTAAACAATTAAATAATTCACATATGTGCTCTCTATATTGAGCTTTACCTAATAAATATAAGATCAAGTCCAACTGTAAGCGGTCTATCTTTTCTTTCTGCACCAGGTGCAAGTCATTTTGGCACGAAGCCGATTTGTGTGCGTTAAACTTCCACGCGCATCCCTAGGTGTCCCGCGGGGCCAGTTAAAAGTAAAACAGAATTGAAATTCACGTAAAAGGGACGACAGACTTATTTTTCCGTGCAGAGTGATCTGCTTTTTACCATATGCGTAGAATCAGCACGGAAGAAAGTCGTCTAATCATGAGAGATTTACACGTTACCGCAATCTTTGCCTGATATCCAACTGCCATTGCATAATGAATGTATTTGTCGCCAGCCTCGCAGACAAATATGGATATAAATACAGCGGGACTCAAACGAGCCATGGACAATTGGAAGCATGCCGCCAAGCCGTTGCACGCAAATGATGGCAGCAGGTACCTGCAGTTGAATCTGAAACCCACATTGCAGGCATACACGCTTCACAAGCACGCTATATATGCACACAAAGAACGACCATGGCGGGTCTTTTGGGAGCAGGTTATTGTATGTATGCCGCACGATACCAAGTACAGCTGATCACTGAATGAACACTGATACCAGGCTTTCATCGGAATTGCCAATCTCTATCGATGCCTTGGTATTTATTCATGTAGGTAACAACCACGGTCCTAGCGGATGCCGCCGCAAAACCCGCCTCAGCTAACGTTTGTTACTAGTCAGCTGGCTAACACATGGCCGCGGGTTCCTAACAACCAATCACGTCCGTTTCCGTCGGGCCGTGTCTAGCCGCAGCGTCGGTAAGGTGACCGCCCCCGGCAATGAGACGACCCCAGGTCAGGGGTCAACAAGGGCGCCCGGTCAGTTGTGACTTGGGCCTGGTGGAGGGTGGTTTATCATGCTTCAGTGAAATTTTAAGCTTGCAATACCGTATTATTGTTTTTAATCGTTCTTAAGCAGATAATCAAGCATGAACGCTATGGAGCAACTGCGGGTAAGTTACCTGCAGTCTTGCGTGATTCGATGCCACGAATTTGCTTACATCCAAGTTAGGTTAGAAGGACCATGCAATTTTTATGACACGATGTTCATCGAAAACGTATATAATCCACGGCTACCATAGCAGGCCTGCTTCCTAGTTATGGTTAGTGTCATTATAATTTCCTTGCGTACATCGAACAGACTGAAAACGGCGTGAGCTCTGCCCACGTACCTTTTTGAAGGCTAGGCATGGAGGATGGAATTTCCGCGAAAATTTTATTGAGAATGTTTCACTGTGCAAGGCCCCAGACTCGTTGCTCTTTTATGATGACGTTTATTTCTGTGCTGGTGCTGTTGCTGCGGCTGATGAACATCTCTGAAACTGCATCCTAGTAAGGTCTAGCTGAGGGTTGTCCCTTTGCTTATGTCACAATTCTTTGTTTTAAAGGCCAACCGTGTCAAATGTTTTTCTGCATTCCGCCGGATCAATCCGGAGATGATGCCAACTAGTTTCTTTTGCACTCTTGGTTCCCACACGTGGACGACTTTAAGCCTCATATACGACCGTGGGTTTTTGACAGCTACGTTCGATCTTCACGGCCACGTCAGCTTAGCTGTCGTCGAATGTTATACACTGCCATCGAAATTGGAAAACTGCCCTGGCCCCTCGCAAGGCGAAAATGATGTGTAATTTACCAGCCGTTTAGACTTGTTATCTGCGTCTGGTCGGGACACCTGGAAACGTCAGATCAATCACTCTCGTTCCTCTGACGCATGGGCCTAGATCATAAATAACGTTGCGCATTTTGGCAGCCTTTCATCCCTTGGTTAGGCACTGGTTACGTGCAGCAATCTCCTCCACTGTTTCCTCTGTTAGAACTTTCTCCTTTAGATTATTTCATACTTATTCGCGGTCCGCATCAGGGTTTAGTTACGCCGTACAACCGTGTTACGCTCCGATTACGCTACATCAAGGCCCCTTCTCACTTACACGCGTAGTGCAATTCATGGACGGCTCCTATAAAGGCCGTCCACTGGTTGTGTAAGAATTTGGTGGCTGACTCGCTGTCGCCTTTTCGAGCCTCTGTGTGCCATTGCTTTTGGATCTGAGCTGACGTGCTGAGCAGCTGGGTATTGCCAGACTTTTCACCATGCTTTTGCGAGCCATGGGAATGTAAAGCAACGAATGCACTCGGTAGCAAAGTGCTACTGAGATAGTTTTCAAAATTCACACAACTGACGTTGTAACGTTGCATTTTAGAATACCTCTAAAAACTATAACGCACCGTTAAAGTCACAAAACTACGCAGAGCTACAACACATGCCTTCGTGAGCGTTGTTTGTGACCAATGCCTTCCATTACTATCGTCTTACTCGGTTTCAATCGCTCAACACATTTTACGTTGACATCTGTCTTTGCGCTCATGTAAATGCAAGTATTCTGGAGCTTGCAGAAGCCATATCTGTTTGGTATTCCGCAGAGCAACTACCTGTTCCCTGAGTCGCAAGATGGCCGCTCCACCGTCAGCGATATCAGCAATAGCAACAATTTGGAGACCTTTCAGAAGATAAACCAGATGCTGGAGAACTCTCTGGATCTCAGCAACCTGGGGGGTGACATCCGGCGACGAGGGATTTCCAACGGTAAGGTTTTAAACCTACTAGACATCCACCTTCAAACCTCTGGTTTTATGCAGCGAAATCCCGCGATCAGTCTACACAGCTATTTGGTGCGGTCTGCAGCTTAGATAAACTGAATAAATAACGACAATCTTGTTCATATTTATTGGCTGTTTGTGGGTCGGTATGCTCGGTATTTGCTGGCTGCGTTCGGATCATTTATGTAGTATGTGCCGGCTGTTGGCAGGTTCATCTTTTCATTGCGTTATTACTTTTGTAGCATTCCGCCAAGCATGGTATTTCGCCGCAGCACTATGAGAAACAATTATTCCAGATGAGTTATGCAATATCTAACTTACAAATACGTAGGCGATTGACACTAAGTCGTAGGAATGTTCACCGTAACTAGTGATGTGCTCGCGGCGCTTCGATCAACGAGCTGGGTGACAAAGTGACAGACACAGAGCAACCCGGCAGTCCTTGAAGGGATATTCCTGGCTTATCGCGCACTGTGGAAATCGAGCGCTCGTCTCGCACAAGCTCGTCACGCACACGCAACGCGCACTGTGCTGTTAAATCTTCGGCGACGGAAGTTCAGTGCTTGGTGATACCTGGTTTGGACTGCATTGAGTGTATGATGCGATGAAGATTTTATCTGAATGCTCGAAAATTATCGGCAGTGGCGTGGTCTTCAGAACCAGTTCGCTGAGGTTTCAACATGCTGGCTAAGGTGGCGGTAAACAATACTGTCATCTATATTGACATTGTTTTCATTACATTTCATTCGTTTCATTTCATACATTTTGTTGCATTTCATTGATACGATGACCGATCAGTGCAACTGTATCGCAAATGTCTGCCTAGGGTGGTTCAGTTTAGGTTTCAAGGCCGATGTATAGTAAGAGCCAGACAGTTGCCATGTGATGCGTCGGGCTTCCATCGACTGAAATCTTGAACTTCCCGGAAAATTGTTAGAGTTAAAATTCTAGTGCACCAATACTGTTATACATACATGCATCTTGATAAAGTTAAACCTGGATCATATATTGTGGCACTTCTTGTTTGAAAAATCGAGGTCACTGTCGTTCGCTGGTCGACTATGGATTACTTCAGAAGTCATCCATTCATGCTTACATTAGCAGTAAATAGGGTCGCTTTAACTTAAACCAGCCTTGCACTGCGAACAAACTCAGGACCAAAGCTGCCTGATATCGACGGAAACCATTGGCGAGGCTTCAGCATTACTGGGACATGTCTGGTTTGAGAGACAGCTCTTTCTGCACACGCTGAATCCCATGCCTCAGTCCAGAAGCTTGGGCTCAAACACCGCCCACAACAGGTACCGACCATTCTTAATTTGGCCTGATGGTTCCGCGTTAAGTTTTAAACACACCTTGCGTGCTTTGCAAAGGCCTAGAAAACTTACGATCGCCTCATTTTCAAGTGCATTTTTGTAGGAAACCGATAACTATTGCTGCCTCTCCGCATCCACGGACCACCCGTACGTGGACGAAAACGTCGCGGCCATGCCAGATGGTGAGGGATTTGACTTCAAAGGATCTAACTCGTGCATATGTTCTCAGTACTATGTGCGTGATATTTAGCGTAACGGCAGTCGTTCGTGCAGACCCGGCAATTCCTGACATCGCAGTCGATCAATGTGGCGGCGTACCGAATTGAGTCGTTGGCTAACAACCTTCAGCTTCAGGATGAGCACAGCCCGAAGTCTTCAGCACAGCCGATATAGTCGTTATTTAACACATCGGTTAACCAGCGCCTTCTGGTATATTGAAGGCCATTAACGGGGTATCCGACTTTCTCAGGACTAGTTACGTCTAATAACACTGGGCAGTACCACCGCAGCACCATCAAAACACACAGGGATACAATTATAATTATTTTCGACTCCGAATTATGCTGCCAACGCTTTCTAACGGAACTACACTGCTCCCGTGCAGTCGCGACCAGTCATCATGACAAACACCGTGCACACCTCTACTGGTGCGAATAAAAGAACGTTTGTGATTGGCCCAGCGAGCAAGGGCCTGTTGCCGAGGAGCACATTGACTGAACTTTGATTAGTTCATTACATTGATCATGTGGTACTCCCATTCCCAAAGCCAAGGTGAGCATCGAAAAGAGCCATTGTGGCAAACGCCATAGGGGAGAAGTCAAAGCCACGGTAAAAGGTGTCGTTAAATTCACGGGATAACATCGCTATGTCCGCATATGTCTTTGCCTGGTGAATCAGGCTTTTGGCGAATTTGTTCGTGTTGACACGTCAGTGTGTTCAAACAGTATGGAACACACAAACTGGAAAAGCAAGCCAAATGAAATGAATTGCCTTCATAGTAGAGGGCAGGAATTGCAATGAGATTCCTCCCGCAGAGCCAGCTACTTCAATTCGAAATTTTGAGCTTTTCGAATGGATTTCGATACCTTGTTTTGGTGATCCAATCGTACGCATCTGGTGTAACAAAAAGTGTGCAAGTACATAAAGGTTGGATACTCTCTTTCACCAGGAGGAGATCGAGCAGATGCACTTCCTTTATCGTATATAAATGATAGTAGTGTCTTAGTGCAGTACAGGTATGACTTGGTGCACGTATATACATATATGGCTTAGTGTCTTAGTAGAGCACAGTCTGACTGAGGAGATGGATGGGGATAAACAAGACAAGATCCCGTATCTGCAGGTAAAGGTGAGGCAAAGACGTGCGAAATTAGGTGACGGCAGAACACTGCATTACTGCATTCGCAGCAAGACAGTTCAGTCATTAAGCTATATGGGGAGGGAGGGGGGGGGGGGGGGGAGCGTCCTGTCAGGTATGAAAGTACACCGCTTTGTCAATGTCTTTTTCCTTAGTCGATGGAACTCAAAGACCGATATTTTTATCGGAAGGCATTGACTGTGTCTGTGCCTGCTTGGTCAGGAAGCGCTGACTGTCTGTGCCTGCCTGGTCAGGAAGCGCTGACTGTCTGTGCCTGCTTGGTCAGGAGGGACTGATTGTGTCTGTACCTGTTTGGTCAGGATGGCTGACTTTGTCTGCACGCGTTTTTCAGACACGTTGAACTGCCGCTCCGCCAGCCTGGAGGTGCGACGCCGGTCGACACAGAACAGCGGTATGTTTCGTCAACCATTCTTCCGTAATCACTCATGTTTTGGGCCCCGTGTCCGCGGCGTGGTCTCTGCGCTCTAAACCTGAAGGAGAAGCGGTGGATATCCCGTCATAAAAGGTTATTTGGATCCTCCTTACGTGTCTTGGAACAATGAGGCTGGGCTGCAAACCCACTATACAGATTGTTAAACCTTTCATGACGCAGCATGGAGGGGATGAGCATTGCAACTTCGTCAAATTGGGACTTCCAACACGCTCAACGGACCGAGCTCGCTCAAGCTCGAGGTTTCACTACACTTAGTCCGCGCTCAGGTCCGCGCAAATGTCCGCAAATGAAAACTACAGAAGGGCATTCAGCCCACTGACCTTACAGGTTGCACCCAAAACACACTTCAGCCTTACGTCTCACCTGTCGCATTTGTTTGCTCGGAACACGAAATTGCCAACGTGCATTTTGTGCGTGAAACGCTGTTTTCGGGGTTGTGACCGCACGGATTAACACGCGCCCGGGTGGACGGTTGGGTGCCCTTCGCTCGCATGGGGATAGGTCAGTTTGGCCCCTGATATTTGGGAACTTAGAAAGCTAGAAACAGCAAATTCACGGTGTGTTGGCCTGTACGTGAACTCGCTTAGGCCAAAGTTTGAGGTTTCTAGGTCATGACCTTCGGATTAAATAAGGTCAAAAGTGTACAACTACCAAATCGCACAAGACTGCTTTGAGTGTGTCATTTGAATAAACGACAACAATTACGCCAGGCGGTGCGCTCCTAAAAACCGAAATGTTGACCTGGGTTGTTTTTAGTCAGTTATCTATTTTGGCCTTTAAGAAGTCCATGGGAAGTGTATGATATGGTTTCTGTTATCAATAAATTGGAAATGGCACCAGAATTTACCCCGTACAGCAGGCCCCAGAGTAACAAAACGGGCTGGTTCTGACCTTGGTCTGACCTTCATACCTGACCCTAGGCCAGAGGAATTTGTCCATTCAATGGGTTTGTGGGCTAAAAAGTATCTCAGATGTACGATTTGCCTAATACTCCGTTGTTGCATTAGATTTAACGATTGTCTAAAAAATTGGCTTCCCTGGATCCATTGCCAGACTTAGCCTGTCACAGGTCAGCGACCATACGAGGCACATCCAAATTTTAATACTAAGCGATCCGTTATTCAATTTCCTACAGCTATGCAAAATATGGCCCTGCTACGCGCGCTGTTGGGAAACCGCTTCATTCCGGAACGACCTTTGGGAGGTGGTCAAATTCACCACCCCACCCAAGCGCGCGTTGAATTAAGCAGCCTGGAAAATAATTGCTTTAAGTTTTTGACTCCAAGGTGCAATTCATGGCGTTGTTAGGTGTATCGCGCCCTGAAGTGTGCGCAGATACTCTCCCGCCATTTCATTCAAGCGAGACGTTACCATCGAGGCGCATGATTCGCTGAAGCAAGGCTATAATAACATTTCAAAGTGAATAAATCGCAATTCGTTTCACCATACGACCTTGACACAGTCCGCACCTGACAAAGTTTTAGGGATTCCTCGCCAGGTACGCTTCACGCGGGAGCGTGGAGTAACTTGTACTGAGTAAGGGAGTCCAATGCTCGTCCGTGGGTTCGCCAGGGGCCTTCTTATTGCTCATACATGGGTCCGATTTTTCCCATATTTTACGCACGTTTGGTGTTCTGGTGAACCAAAAGCAATCCCAAACCAGAAAACACCACCGAGACTGAACTTGAATCACTACGTCTATCGAAGGATACCAGGTCTGTGTTTGTAGCTGGCAGCCTTCCAGAGCAGGGTGGCACACCGGCCTCTCGTCCTGTTCCCGCCGGGGCGGACTGCCGGTTATCCGGCCGCGTCCTGGCGCCATATTTGCGACCAGTTGATTTCGCGCCGGATGTATTGCCTTGCGACGCCTGGCGGCAAAGTCCGACACTGCTCTCCGGGCTGTTTTCAAATGTCATCATTAGGAACTGCCCTCCGATCTGACTTTTGGCCCAGGGTGCGCGCGCGGTGGACGGGCGGAAAACCAGCCATAAAACGGCGTCGACAGTGGGCAGTCTCTTTGAAGCCGAAGATCTTTCCGCCTGGTGCCGACCGCTCGCTAAGATGGATCTGGACGTTCTGTTTGAAATTTACCTACGCGGTGATTCGTCGCTGAGCAACTTTTTCCGTTGCATAACTCTCAGTAACCTGAGGATTTCCTGGATTCGAAAGCTGTCTGGTAAGTGGATAGCTGATACATTTGGTGTGTAATTTGTTCCTTTAAAAGTATTTTTCATATCCGCGCATGCCACTTTTGTGTCTCGTTCCTTTATTGTCGTGTTATTCCACGCTGCACGTTGCGAAAGTTCGAGAAAGCTTTGCACCGAACACTAGTTGTCGGCAATAGATGTCCTTCTTTCATGTCTGCAATTTATTCCTTATTTCTAAGACGCCGTGCATCGAGGATTTCCTCAAAATAAAATCAAAACTCAGAAAATAGTATTCATAATGCGCATGTCGTATATCTCTTTTTACTTTTTGGACATACTTTGGACATGCTTTGGACATGCCTCGGACACTTTTACACATCGTCATATTACTATCGCACACTTTGGACACATATTGGGCACATATTGGGCACATATTGGGCACATATTGGGCACATATTGGGCACATATTGGGCACATATTGGGCACATATTGGGCACATCTTGGGCACATCTTGGGCACATCTTGGGCACATCTTGGGCACATCTTGGGGATTCTTTTGACATACTTTTGGCACACTTGGGCATACGTTGGGCATACGTTGGGCATACGTTGGACATACGTTGGGCATACGTTGGGCATACGTTGGGCATACGTTGGGCATACGTTGGGCATACGTTGGGCATACGTTGGGCATACATTGGACATACATTGGACAGTTTGGACATAAAACCCCGCGTGCGCTTTGAGTGCGCGTATTTTTTATGCACGTCCTTATTTGAAAATTGAGCGGGCTTTACGTGCGCTTACTCGGCGCCACGCGCGTTCACGTTCACGTACATGCTCGATCAGGGAGCTAAAATCGCTTTTAAATGGGTGGGGTGGGGGTGGAAAATTCCATCGCAAAAAGACCGTGCGGGAATGAAAAAAAAATCAATTCACAAAAGATGGAGCTTACGAGCTTGTGACTGATGCTTCAGCAAACAAAGACATCTTTTTCAAGTTGTTATGGACGTGATATCGGAAACCTGACAAAACTATTTTGTTTAACATCTTAGGCCATTAAAGTGAAGCAGAATACATGAAAGCATAGTAATTTCATGGCAGTGTAATGAACATAACAAACTGCCAACACCAATAATTTGATGCTGCGCTGAACACTTCCCTTCCACAGCACTTTAAACACAAAACAAAGCAAAGGAATTCAATAACAAAATGACAATAGAAAATTCAACAAGCATACAACATTCAAACAAAAAACCTTGGACTCATACATATCAGCCCATCACCAGGTTAAACGCAATGGACATATCGCTGGATTCTGTTGAGATGGGTTCAGAGAAAACGAACATTTTGTCACTGTTTCTTATAAAATACCAATGATTATTTCCATGAAAGAAGCCTCGCTACGTCTAGCCTAAAAAGGCTTACTTCATCTCACCCTGTCTAACCTGTTTGTATCACAGCAACAGTTGTGAGTTACGGATTCTCCTACAATTCCTGTTGCCACTTACCATGCACTTAACCAACTTAACCCAAGTTATGTAGAACATCTCATATGTTCTCTCTCATCTCATGCCCATATGCTGAACATCTCAACGCGTCTATCTAACAGCACTTGTGGTAGCAACATGATAAAGCTAATCTTTGGCTGATTTAAACTTACATTTTCATTCAGTTCATTTGTGTACGCTTGTTGACATCAGAAAAAGTCGACAACGCACAAATCAAAACACTTTAAATCATTTTCAACAATTTATTCTGATTGCCACGATTAACCTTTGTCAAGGACAATAAGGGGTATGCTCCACAAAACAATCTCTCTTTCTTCTGCAAAAGTAACATAACTTTTAGATGACCATACCAGTATTGCTGCTTGCCTTTTTATCTGCAGCGAAGGCATCTAATAAGGCTTATTCATTCATATTTTAGGACACTGTTTGAGATGCTTGCTTCAAATTTTAAATGGGGTGGTTCGACTACTTGTTACATACTATTCAACTCATTTTATAATTGCTATGCAGCTTAGAGCATCCCTGTGTTAAAAATATAGTGCATATATACGGTACAGTGATTTGCCAGTCAGCAAACCATGACAACTATAGAAAATATCTGGTTAAAGCAGCCATGAAGCGCCACTTCGAGAAATTTGGGGCAAATAATCAAGAATATGGAACAACATAAACCCATTACATGCATTGTAGCATCATAATTTGTCTTATGACAAAACAAGATGGATTAAAACAGAAAATAGCAAAATCTGGTTATCAATCATGTGTTAAAATAGGTGCGGTAAGCAATTACTTGATCCACAGCAGACTTAATGGATTCTTCCTGCCCCCCCCCCCCCCAAAAACAAAGTCAGCACCTTTTGCATGATCTGCTGGCAGACAGTCATCCCACCCCCCCCCCCCCCCCCCCCCAAATATAAATATCAATCATGCCCACCAACCTACGAGATTAAAATGCGAGACAAGTAGGAAGTGTGCATGATAAACATCTCCAGAGGGCAGCATTTTGCCATCAAACGCTTCTATGTTAGCTGCGCCAGGTCTGCCCCAAAGCTCCGTATGGCAGCACTAGGATAGCCTTGTCAGATGGCCTGGTGAGTTAGATACACTCGAAAGGCTTAGATTTATCATTATTGAGCACCACCATAAGCCAAGAAAACGGTTGACAGAGGGTTTAACAGGGCACAGATGTCGGTTAAAAGAAGTTCCGTGCTTCAGATTGTCTCCTTCATTCTCTGTGAATTGTTCGCTCTTAGGTGCACTCTTGGGCTTTCAGTAAAATTCTCTACCAGGCCTTGCTGGTGTTTGCACCAGGCTCTGCTTTCGTGGTGTGGTGGTGAGACAAAAAAGGGGATGCGTGAAAACCGTGCATTTGGCACACAGCTGCCGGTTGTGCTGCATGTTGTAAACAAACCAAACTTAATGCGTGCGAGCGGCTGGGGTCGTTGGGGTTCTTGGGCTTGGAGGTACCTGGCGCCCTTACTCTGTGCATACATAGACATGATTCAGATGTAGGTGAGGCAGGACATAGCCATAGGTGTCCAGGTTCTGTGGGGCCTTGTTTATGCTTGGTGGTTTCATGTGAGCTCGGTTTTGGATGCCATCTGAAAACCTCAGAAAGGGAAATAGGGTTTGGCATGTGCGATTAGACAATGTCGGGCAGGAATGAAAAATTCACTTCAAATATGGGAAGGAGTGAAATTCCTCCTCACAGGGTGCTGCTTTACACCCAAAGCCAGCAATTCTAGGACACTGCGCTCGACGCGGCACACTTCGCCGGCACGCGCATTTTGAATGCACAAACTGTTTGTGCACTGCACATTGATGGTGCGCGCACCCAATTTGGCACCCAATCTGTAAGCACGCACGCTTGATCGGCACGCACACTGTGCGTTCAGCGGATTAGATGAGATCAGATGAGTTTGCTGTGAGGGTTCGCTGTCCCGATGTGTGCCGGGTCACAGAGTGCCGCCCTGACGCTCGCCTGGGTGCCACATGACCCTTGTAGCCTGCGTGCCCTAAAGCCCAAATCACCACCGCGTGACTGTCACCCGCCTCATGTTACGTTACAGATGCATCTATGACGCTCGACGGCTTGATGAATACGTACTCTCCCGACAACGTCTTCAAGGAAAATTACCGGACGCCAACGTCGAAATCTATCGACGTAAGTTTAAGCTTGAAATTTTGTTCTATCTCGTATCCATAGGCGCCGGAAACAAGATGGCTTAGGCCGCAGCGTATGCTTTTCCGTGTCTGCTTCTGTGGTGCAACTGATAAAAGGTTGCATCAACAAGCGTTCAGTGTTATCTTCCCCTTAAATACACATCCTCCTAAATGAAGCTGACGAATGCGAGGTGTGACGGTGCCGAAATTAGCTGACGAATGCGAGGTGTGACGGTGCCGAAATTAGCTGACGAATGCGAGGTGTGACGGTGCCGAAATTAGCTGACGAATGCGAGGTGTGACGGTGCCGAAATTAGGCTGACGAATGCGAGGTGTGACGGTGCCGAAATTAGGCTGACGAATGCGAGGTGTGACGGTGCCGAGGCACACGTTGATCAGCTGGTCTTCTAAAAACATCTTCAACATGTGACTGAACACAATCAACGCAGCTTTTCATGGACAGCAACATGCAATAATCGCCGAGCTGTGCCTTGCCCGCTTCTACGATACCGGCGACGCCAGTACGCGCGCGGGTGCTGACCGCTGGCCCCTGCGTCCTGACCGTGTGCCCGCAGCTGGACCAGCTGCAGGAGTGGAACCCCAGCAAGCTGCTGTACAACTTCAGCGGCACCCCGTCGCCGACGCTGCGCCCGATCCGAGGCTCGCGCTCCTCCTACTCCGGCACGGCCGACACGGGCAGCCCGACGCTGGAGCAGGCCATCCTGATGGGCTGCCGCGACTTCCGCAGCCCGTCGCCGGCTGACTCGGACACGAGCGGCGTCGGCACGGTCACCGGCAGCGACGGCTCCATGCTCTCCGACCTCATGGTGAGAGGACGGGCCAGCGAGCGGGTCTGACGCAGCTCAGGCGAGCGACGTCGGGGAGGGAGAGGAGTCGGGAGGCGGTGTTGGAGGATTGGGAGATCAGGGAGGGAGAGGAGTTCGAGAAAGCTGGTCATTTGTATCGAGTTGGGCAGTCGGCGACTCTTGACCATAACATCTTCACGAGACCATACAAGACGCATAGCATCGCAGATGCCTGGAGCCAGCCGACGCTGCCTTTCGACTGAATATATATATATATATATATATATATATATATATATATATTGTAGGATAATGACACTATTTTTACATGTTACTGACCCCGACGTTGATGTGCATGGTACAGAAGACCCAGTGCGATTCATGACTTACGCTCACAAAAGATGAGAAACCTTGACGAAAGAAAACAATAATCTTCTTGCACTACATTTGTGCGCACCTTGCCGCACGCTCGGGTGGGGTAGGGTGTGTGTGGCGGGGGGGGGGGGGGGGACGGGACACGGGGCACGGGCCAAATTAACCCCCCGAAGGTTTTTCCAGAATGATTTTGGAACAGCGCGGCAAGCTGTAGAGAACTGAATAGCGATTTTTGAATTAGATTTGCTCTGTGAGGTCGCTGACTTATGACAGGTCAGTCAGGCGATGACTGTCAGCGAAGGGGATTGCGAGGGAGCGCTAGGTCTGATGCAACAACAGAGTGTTAGATGGAGCCATCATATATCAGTTTCTTAGGCAATAGGCCAGTTGAAGTTATAATTTTAACCGACCTTACCGACTAGCGGTGAGGTATGGTGAAGTATGGAGGTGAGGTCAAACCAAAGTCGGAACCAGCCCGTCCTTTTATTCGAGTATGCTTTACGATGTAGTTTCTGGTGCTAAATAAAGACTGGTACCACAGCAGGCATGTTCCATGAACTTTAAAAGGTCCGAGGAAGTCTCCAGCCTAAGATGACCCAGGTCCACGTTTCATTTCCAGGAGAATGCCGCCCAGTACAATCCATAGCGCTTATTTGAATGACAAAAGGAACACTTTCGTAGACATCTGGTCACCTTGACCTTAAAAGGTTAAAAAGGTCGCTGACTTTAATTGAACACCATTTAATTCAAATTGGAGTAGGTATCTAGGTTGACGGCAGTTGCATAAGGTCTGCAGGCACTTGAGACACCAATCTGGCGTTTCACTTCGTTTGACCTCATTCGATCCAAATATTATAGCCTAGGAATCTCAAATTTCGGCACAAGTGCAAGCACAGGCTAACAAACCTGTGAATTTGGTGTCTAACTATCTTAGTTTTTTGGGATCTCAGTGAAGAGGGCAGTCCAATTGACGCCTCACCCGAGCGAGCGGTATTTGACCGACCACCCAAGCGCATGTTAAGACTAACTATAATTACTTCGCGCTAGCTGACCTTTGCCCGGCTTTACGCCAGGCCGCCCGGACAAGACCATAAACCAATTTGTATTTTTGTCTACCGTTGCTAAGGAACACGGGAGCCATGTTTCTCTGACCTTTGACCAACCAACAAACTCTTCCTCTCTATTTCACCCGCAGAACAGCCTCAACATCGGTTACGGCAGCCGCAGCGGCGGCGGCAACGGCGGCGGGGCAGGCACCGGCAGCGGCGGCGGCGGCGGCGGCGGCGGCGGCCTGCAGGCTCCCGGCGGCGCGCCGGTCAGTCTGCAGTCCCTGCTGCGGCCGCGGCGGCCGCCGCTGCCGGCCGAGTTCGACCTGTCGCCGGCGGCGGCCCACTTCTCGCCGCGCCTGGCCGTGCCGCCGGCCGCGCCCGTGCGGGACCAACGCGCCATCGAGCAGGCGGCCAAACAGCACCGCAGCGCCGCCTCGCTGTACGACGCCACCTACACCTGGTCCGGCCAGCTGCCTCGCAAGGTGCACAGAAACCCCGTCTACTCCTGCAAGGTACGCTGCACGCGGTTGAGTGGCGCGTGCGAAGGGGGCTGGGAGGGGCCCATGGTCTTGGGTCCGTCGGGAAGGCGACTGTGAGACCAGGGGAAGGGCGAATAAGTGCATAGGGAGCCAAGTCCTGGCTGTGGGAAGCGATGCAACTGGTGGCATTGGCATTGGTGATTGGTGGCATTGGTGATTGGTGGCGTTAGCGATTGGTGGCGTTGGCGTTTTGCAATGTTGGTGATTGGCAGTATTGGTGATTGGCAGCATTGGCGGCTGGCGTCGTTGACAGTGTGCACATCGGGCAGGTGTTCCTGGGTGGTGTGCCATGGGACATCACTGAATCTGCCCTGGCCTTCGCCTTCAGGCCGTTTGGTCCCATTCGGGTCGAATGGCCTGGCAAGGATAGCAATGGCAACCCTCCCAAGGGCTACGTCTACGTGTTATTCGAGTCTGAAAAACAGGTCAAGGCCATGCTGGAAGCGTGCACGTACGACTTGGGCAACAGCGGCAACTGCTACTTCAAAATTTCGTCTAGGCGTATGAGGTCCAAGGAGGTGAGAAGTATGAAGTGAGGGAATTGGACGGGCAAATGCGATGAGGTACTGTTTTTACTGATTTTGGGAACCACTTACGTAGCACACTTAAAAAGGCGCTCTTTAGTTTAAGTGTTCTGTATTGTGGTAGTTGCTATGGTTTCGCTTTCCTTGTAGTTTCCCTCACAACTTAAAAACTTAAAGGCTGGCGCAGTAGACTAGTTTAACAAAAATTGTCGCACTTGTCACACTGTGCGCTGCTCGTATGCTCATTGTCTAAACCTCATTGTCTAAACCAGAGTGCCAACGGTGTAAAATGCCTCTCCGTGGGCTTACTCTCGAGCTGCCGCTCCTCCAACGCACAGCGCTGCTCGCACCGTGCCGCCTATGCCCCCCCCCCCCCTCCCACCGTACCCACTCAGCCACGCCCTCTGCTCCTGTCGTCTGCGCGCCGCGCCGCGTCGGCCGCCTGCCGTGCCGCTGCCTCGTGTGACCGGCCGCCACGCACCGCCGGCGGCAGGTACAGGTGATTCCCTGGGTGATCGCGGACAGCAACTACGTGCGCTGTCCGTCGCAGCGGCTCGACTCTCAGATGACGGTGTTCGTGGGCGCCCTGCACGGCATGCTAACGGCCGAGGCCCTGGCGCGCATCATGAACGACCTGTTCGGCGGCGTCGTCTACGCAGGTCAGCAGTCTGGCGTGAAGTCTGAATTGGTTTTAAATAGGGTAGGAGGATTTGGAGTGTTATTAGGATACATCAGTTTTTTTGGTTGGGGATTGGTGGGGGTTGAGTGATTTGTTGGGAGATTTGTTGAGGATATCGTAGGGGGTGGGTTTGAGGATGGGTTTGAGAATGGGTTTGAGGTGGGGCCTATGTTGGCCTTAAATCCAACCCTTACCATTAATCCGGTGAGGGTTGGATTCAGGATGAAAATCAGCCCAAACTCTGAGCCGTATTAGAGTTCAGTCATCTTTGAATAACTGTTGAGTAGGGATTGAGCGGTGGTTGAGAGGTTGCGGGTTTGGGGTCGGCTTTTGGGGATTTTGGGCGCATCTGAGTCTTGGCTGGGTTTGAGGATAGGTGACTCATCGTAGTGCTTCTATAGCTTTCCGTAAATGCTGTTTTTTTCATCGCTATACGTTTCCTAATGCTCTAATTCTTCTTTTGTTTTGATTGTTTGCTCTTGTCTCGCATCTCTAATCCTCATTTTACATATGTTACGTTGGTCTGCAGGTATAGACACGGACAAGCACAAGTACCCGATTGGGTCCGGCAGGGTGACTTTCAGCAACCAGAAGTCCTTCATGAAGGCCGTGGGGGCAGCGTTCGTCGAGATCAAGGCGCTCAAGTTCACGAAGAAGGTGGTCAATGCGGCAGTGACTGGGGGGGGGGGGGGGGGGGCAAAAGTTTTTTGTTTCGATGCCCGGTCCTCAAAGACTGGCTTAACCGGTAATCATACAACGGACTTTATCAGCCATCATTGTGCACTTGTGACTGAAGGTCGTAGCGCCACGTGACCTGAAAAATTGTTATGGTATTTGGTTGGTGACACAATACCAACTCCACGTCACGGGGTCACGTCTGGCGCCCAGTCCTCTATACCGGTAGCGAACTATCGCTGAGCCTCCCGTGTCTGGTGTCGCCACATTACATATGTCTATCCGGATTTGATGGTGACTTGATAGTTTCCTACCTCTGACGGCCTGACACTCCCTCCAGTCTCCGCTACATGGCATGGTCCGCTGGGTCCCTCCCATGTGTCTCGTTTCTGGGGATCTGAAACTCCCGCGCCGCCCAGTGAGCGGACACTTTCTTTTCACCCTCGGCTGGTGCATGGTCAGATGTTTCCAGTCGCTGGCACTGACCTAACAAGTGCTCCAGGTCCTGAGATAGCGACCTGATGCGCATAGCTCCAGTTCGTGATAGTACCAACGACATTCCTCCCGTCTCTGATGGAATCCTGCCTTTGCTAACCGTCCCTGACGGAGCACTGGCTCTGTGTTAGCGACCTCTGGCAGCCTGACGCTGATCTGGTAGGGCACCGGACACGGTAGCCCGTATCTGACTGTAATCGGCATCTCGTATTCTATCGATAGTGACTGGACATCGTTTTCTGTGTCATGTGTCGGATAAGTGGCCTGACAATCCTCCGTCCCCGGTATGCCACTAATGACAGCGGACCATTAGCGCTCATCGGAACCTGCGGCGCTTTAATTGCCTGCAACGGCTCTCTTTGTTTGTTTCCCGGTACAAATGACACTGAACAACTCTCAAATTCACGATGAACGTCAAAATGCAATGTTTTTTATGCTTGACTTTTGACCGCAAGGTTTTTGGAAATAGGGAGGTATATCGCGTGACCGAAAAAGATCTAAAACGTGGTACAGCATATCTCCGAGAAAAAAGCCCGTGCTGTCTGCCACAATTCAACGACAATTGTGATTGCAGAAATAACTGACAACTCTTGTGGCCGAAAATTGCTTTCCCAACTCCAGGAGAATTGTACTTGACCATGGTTTGAGTTAGTTGCCGCCATGTAGATGCGCCATCACATACACGGCTGCATGCATGCATGCACATATATGCATAGCGTTTCATTGCATAACATTGTGCGCATGCAATACACTATGTGCATAATGCATGCATTTTCATTACATTTTACAGATGTATAACGTATGCATATGCATAGCATATGAATATGCATGACGGACGCGAATGTGTAGCATTGTGCATATGCATGACGTACCCAGCAATTGGTAACTATGCGTTATTGTATTCCTTAAGTCCCGAATCCTGCTCCGTCACATCTGGGCGTGGCCGCGAATGCGGTGGCCTGGTCTGTGTCATTTGGCATGACGCTACCCTCGGACCTGACGAATGCGATGGCCTGGTCTGTGTCAGTTGGCATGGCGCTCCCCTCGGACCTGACGAATGCGATGGCCTGGTCTGTGTCAGTTGGCATGAAGCTATCCTCGGACCTGACGAATGCGATGGCCTGGTCTGTGTCAGTCGCCATGACGCTACCCTCATACCTGACGAATGCGATGGCCTGGTCTGTGTCAGTTGGCATGACTCTTCCCTCGGACCTGACAAATGCGATGGCCTGGTCTGTCAGTCGGCGTGACGCTGCCCTCGGATCTGACGAATGCGATGGCCTGGTCTGTGTCAGTTGGCATGACGTTCCCCTCGGACCAGACGATTTGACACTCCTTCCCCGTTTCTGATGACGACCGAAAGCTACGCTGTCTCGCCCATGGGGAGCTGCCAGTCTGCCTCTATCTGTCCGGCGGCGGCCCAACACCAGGTGTGCAGTCTCTGCGGACTATGCGACATCCCATCCCACCACTGGCGGCGACGGCGACCTGGTGTTGGCCGTGACCCGACCTCGACCTGACGCGACCTCGGCCCGGTTGCAGGTGCAGATCGACCCGTACCTGGAGGACTCGCTGTGTTCGGTGTGCGCCACGCAGCAGGGGCCCTACTTCTGCCGCGACCTCTCTTGCTTCAAGTACTTCTGCCGCGTCTGCTGGACCTGGCGCCACTCGAGCGACGCGCACCGCGGCCACAAGCCGCTGATGCGCAACTCGCGCACGTCGGTGGGCGCGCGTGTCTGAGCGTCGGCCGCTGCCGGGTCAGCCCGGCACCGGCGCCTGCCGGGGCCGCCACACGCCGGCTGGCGGGCCGCGCCGCCGCCGCCGCCCGGCGCCGGGCGCCGCGGCGCCCCGGCGCGGCACGGCCGGCGGCGCGGCCCGCGGCAGGGACCCCTCTCCCTGACGCACAACCAACCACACACCCCCTCCACAAGACCCAACGACGCACGTCCCTCCCGTCGGCCAGGTTGGTTTGAGAACCAAACGCGTTGATTTTCGTTCGCGCAAGAAGCTTTAAGTTTGCTGATATTCTGGTGTCGGTAGTGCTACCTGGCGGTAAATTAGGTTATGGAATGGTTTATTTGACGTGGATCGCTACTAACCTAAATATTATGCAAACAAAGCGAACTGGCGTCGAGCGATGTTCACATAAAAATGAAAAAATATATAAAAACAAAACAGCTATATCTCGCCCCGACTTCATTTGTTTTCAGCGTTCTGCATTGGAGTGAATTGTTTTGTGCCAGATTGTTCTTATTTTACACCCTCCCTAGGCTTAGGCAAAACTCCTTTTTGAAGAGCCAATGACTTCGCGCGAAACCGGACAAGCCAGCTGATCATGTTTACTGCAACACTTGCGTGTGTATATATTTATTTACTATTTCTCTGAGCCTTTAACGATACCCTAGTCTTCTTTGTGACGTGTCTGTGACTGTGTGCGAACTGTAAAGCAATGTGACGTTTGGAAATAAATACCGCTGAGGAAAATCAGCTTTTTAAATGCCGGCGTAAGTAAATTGCAAGCTTTGCGCCCTAAACCTGCTCATCAACAATCTGAACGTGTTCTCGCGTCTGGAAATCGCGACCTTTGAAAGCCATTTGGTCTGCCAAAGAGTAAACAGTGGTAGTGATCTGATTTGCCCAAGAGTAAGCTATGGTAGTGATTTAGTCTGTCCAGAAGTGAGCCGATTGGTTTCCAAAGATCATCCGGTCTACGTGCCTGAAAGACCGAACTCTCTCCCATACGAACTATGTGAATGTTTCGCAATACGACTGCTTCTAATCATTCAACCAAAAAAAAAAAAAAACTGCCAGAAACGCCAAATTCACATGGCAGGCAAGGTTCTCTGCAAGCTTATTAGCGTCACTTATTAGGGTAGTGAGGTCTTTCCGTCAAATGAGAACAAAAGCCAAACTAGATCGGTTTTCCAAATGATGCAGACACCCTCGCGCGGCCAGCCTTAACCTAAAGGCGAGATGTCGCACGTAATCTTATCGGGTCGGTGACATAACATGACATGAAATCCTGCCGACATAAAAATCAAGAATTACCGAAGTGACATGCTACTCAAGCAGAAGGTTAGTCCAGGTCATTTTAGGTCGGTGACCTTTGATCTGCATGGTGTTAGAACAACACGTTTGTTGAAATCCTGGTGGATGTCAAAAATACACCCACAAAGGAAGTTTTACAGTAAAAGCTGTTGGGTTCGTACCTTGGTCTGAGCTTCATGCCTGACTCAAACTTAATGAAGTTAGTTGCAATCCTTATCGAATCGTCAAATGCATTTCAGAGTTCAAACAGTTGTCGTAACACCTCCCCGTCGCAGCGCCTTAAAATATATCCTAAGACTTGCGTTCGTTGACAGGCATGGCCTTACTTTGACCAGCTACGGCAGGCAAAATCAAGAGGCAAACCAACGGTTTTTTCGTAAAATGGGACATCTGACCATCTAAGACTCCACAGATTTTAGTGTCGATACGACGCACGGTTCTGGAGTTGTCTTGAAACGCCGCTGGGAGCGGGGTCAAAACGACTCCCACTGTCTTGTGTTGATTTTTACACACTATGTAATTCAAAACATTACAAACACACACCATAATTCAAACAAGTGCTTGTGCTAAGCTTTACTACGGGGGTGTTTAAAAAAGTCCGTAACGTTCTAATGTAATTGAAAAAGGCGAAAAGCAGCCAAGCTTGAGGTGTTCAAAGTTTGCTTGGGTTGAACACGTGTAATTTGAAATCGCAATTTCACGCCGGGTGTAGGACAGATGAAGTTTCGCGCTACAAGAGCTTTTTCATCGTCGCCATGCGATAGAAATATGGATGTCCCCTGACCCTTAACTCATTATTCCTTAGCCTTGCGCTGCCCTAAGAACCGAGACAGTTGCTTAAATTTCTGTCGGAGGATCTCGTAAAGCAATTTCCACGAGCGATTTGAATTAGATCTTGGCATCGCTCATTCTGGCTCAGGCCCGAAAGATAAAATGAAGACAAAGTGCGCCATGATTTCAATTGAGGTTTTAAATGTCATTTGCCACATTTGGTGAAGTTTAATTGGTTATGCATTAACCTGTGTTTTAAATGTAACCAATGCTTGCCGCATGCCCTATTGGGCATAACATCAAGCGATGCTTCCCATCGCGTTAGGTGCAATGCGTGGAACATCGGGCACCTGAGTAATATGGATTATAACAATAGTAAGTGGCCCAATAACATATTTGAACCGCTCGGTGCGTGATGACAGGAGTGTTAGTTTTCATGCATGATTAGTGGACAGCAGCAAGCCGCCTCCTTCCACTAAGTAATGAGGAGGAAGTTAGCAAGTTGCTATCTATAGGTTGCTATAGCAGTGATAGGTCATGGTCAATGGATAAACCTCAGAGAATATAAATATTGTGACGGAGTTAGCTTTTTCTTATATGTTTTTGGAATCTTTCAGTTAGAAGTACACACTACTTAGCACGCAAAGGGCAATTTTGGCTCGCTGATTGAGTTTCTACCAATGCTTGAAAGCTGTTAACGAAGTATATCATTGAGCTGTACCAACTAATTTATTCCGCGATCTGAAATGCAGATTCGTACACCAGCGTTTGTTACACGAGTAAAAAAGGATGGTAGCCAACAATTTTCACCCTAAGGTACCCTGGTTCGCCGGTTTCCATTAAGCGGGCTGGTAGTGGGTGATCCCATGCCGTTAAAAAGCCGAAAGGTGCAGTCTTGCGGAAACTAACAGTAAATTGCCTTCAACGAGATCTCGCGATTGGTAAGCAGTCTCATGTTGTTCATTGATCCAGCTAAGCCAAACTCGAGGTCAAATTTTCTTGAGAATCAAACTATTTAAGCTTCGCATGCTCATGTGTACGAAATCATGCAGCGTAAATATATGGATCATATAAAGGCGCGTTCTTTGTTAAATTACGAGTAGAATGGCTGGTAGTTTTAGTTGCTTCGAGCCTTAATTTGCAATGAGGGGCTTCGTTAAGTGGCAGCCCTCCTCCCGCGGTCCGCGAAATCGTTGCTTGCCACCCCCTACCCCACCGGCCTAGGATCGTCCTTCAGCGCTGCTAAATAACCGTCATTCCTCCGAAATCAGAAAGGCTACTAACACGTTTTTGGCGTCAACACACGGGCAATGGATGCACGAGAAGCCGCCTAAGATTTGAGCGCGACTGCACAACATGTCATACTGGTATCCTCAGAAAACCTTAAAGTGGGAGGCGTCGCATGCCCCCCGCCCCTCCCCCTCCTGTCAGCACAAGTATGTTGTTCAGAAAGAACTAGCGGCCTGGTGTGAAGTTACTAACACATTTCAATGCAATTTACTCGTTAGGACACTGCGAAAGGCGCTCACCAGGCAATACATGTGCCAAGCTCGGAGCATGCTTAACACGCGCCCGGGTGCCGGTTAGACACCCTTCGCTCGGGTGGGGGGTCAATTTGCCCCCCTGAGATCTTGGAACTAAGGGAGCTTGAGACACCAAGCTCACAGACTGTATTAACCTGTACGTATACTCACTTAGGTCAAAGTTTGAGGTTCTTAGGTCATGACTTTTGGGTCAAATAAGGTCAAACAAGGTCAAATTCCAGATTGGTCTCCAAAGGGCCCCTAGATACTAGGCAACTGTTGTAAGACAATTTTATCACGCTCAGTTAAGGTCACTGACCTTGTTTGACCTTGTTACACGCGCCCGGGTGGCCAGTTGGATACCCTTTGCACGAGTGGGGGGTATACGATCGCCGTATAGCATTCTTATAAAAACTTCACTTTTCGGAAAACCAGAAACACAAGTGGCAATTTTTGTCAAGACATGTACAATGAATGCCCTCCATAAAGTGCTGAAAATTTGAATGAAATTGCTGTACAACGGGGATATGTTCTCAAAAAACCTCAGGGGGTCGCATCGAACAGCCTCCCCTCCTGCCAGGACAAGGGCAACCTACAAAGGTCTTGAATACGGCTTCCCGGAAGGATCAAAAGACCTTAAGACAAAAAATATAAAAACGTTACTTTTCGGAAAACCAGAAACACAAGTGGCAATTTTTTTGTCAAGACACGTACAATAAATGCCTTTCATAAAGTGCAGAGGATTTGAACGAAATTGCACCACAAAACGGGGATATGTTCTCAAAAAACCTCAGGGGGCCGCATCGAACAGCCTCCCCTCCTACCAGGACAAGGGTAACCTAGAAAGCTCTTGAATACGGCTTCCCGGAAGACTCAAGAGCATTCTCCTGATCATCGCTATTACTCAGAACGATGGCTATTTGACACTTGGTGTTTCTTTCCAGATAATCAATGTTAAAGGAGCTCTGTGAATGCCTGAAAAAACTTCGGAAGGCCCAATTGTTTGCCCTTCTTTGTGCTGCTGGTGCGATATTTGTGCTGTTGAACGCTGGATGGCTGTACCAAAATCGCGAGGTAGTTGAGGTAAGACAAAAGATTCTTTGAAATTATGAAAGCTTAGTGGGGCAAACCATACGCTTCTCGCATGCGTAACCATAATGTGACGTTCACGGATATCGACGTGTACGCCTGCGATAATACAGGATGATTATAACTGGGCGCGCTCTTTCCGTTTGTACATACCACAAGTGTTAACATTTGCATTGGTCAAGCTTCGTGTTGGAAATTCACGCCGATAGGTCTGCGCGCTGTTAAACGTCATGCTTCGTTCCAAGGTGAAGTTGCGTTTGTTTTGCGATACAGACAACAGCATAAACTACCATCGAGCGCGAGCTGCAGTTCGAACGCAAACTGCGGATACTTCAGTCTACCTTATCTTTGTTCCAGGTATTCGACCACACGGGCTCCATGTCTCAGGAAACTCTTGAGATAATTCTTTGTCCCATGCCAAGGGTAACCACTGAAAAGATTGCGCATTTCGGCCTCGAGACGCAAGGATTTACGAACAATAATTTTATTCGCAAAGTTATCTGGCCTTGGATTCATCCCCACAATAATAACTCCACCAATACGAAAGCGAAAATATTTGTGACCATCCTTCACTGTCTGATTAGGTCGAGGCTGTTTAAAATCACTGATGCGATATACGATATGTTGGATGCTATGTTCTGGTATAAGGGATGCTTTCCTGCGGAGCTTGTCAACGGCAGCAAGGCTTTGCAAGATCAATTCATGTCACCTGAGTTTGTCCAGAACACAAAGCAAGCGTTTGAGGATAAACTCGGAATGTACCTGAAATCAATGTTTGGCTCTCGTGACAAAGAACGACTGGAAGATTATATGGAGCTTTTCCAACTCACCAAGGTACTGAAGCATCGTGACCTGACTATCACCGACCTGCTTAAATTCATCGGCTTAGACCTGCAGACTTATATCGATCAGAAGGTTCTCGACATTTCCCTTAAGGACGTCACCCGACCACAGCACATACTGGAGAAGGACACCATCAACACTCGAATGGCGTTCAAATGCTTCCGACACGTGCTACACAACAACAGTGAACCCGGCCACCAGAGATCCAAGATTACCTACTTCTTTCGGTAATATTTCAACTCAGCGAGATTTTGTTTCACGAGTGGTCCATGTGTCTAGCCTACCCTGGTGATATGTTAGGGAATTGCGAAATCGTAAAACAGCACGCCCACTCAAGCTAAAACTGTTACGATACTCTTGAGAATATCTCTTAAGTCTCAAGACGACTGTCTGACCGGGCTCACCAGTTGCGCTAAGAAGCAATGATCACATCTCAAACTTTTATCAATCTTCAATTTTGGGGGTCAAGATGCTAATTCTTTACAAAACTGGTGACATGCTCACGTACTAGCCCAATATCATCTTCTCACATCAGTAACCCTGATTGTCTCCAGACAATTTGGTTACGAGAGATGGATACTTACGTATTTCTGATCTGTGATAATACGCGCGGTCGACATGATTCGTGATGCTCTCTAGTCTGCCGACGACGGTCACTGCGGCTGTTTTTAAATCACATGCCTTCCTGTGCTCTTCGACAGAAACTACTGCCCCTGGGAGCCTTCCCATCTCTATCCGAAGGGCTCATACTGCATCACCATCAACGAAATGTACCTCACCATGCACGTCAACGCATTCAGCCAGTACACGGACGTGCCGGCGGTGCGGACGTTCGCGCCAATCCGCCTGCCCACCGACCAACCCAGCGTAGTGCACGTGGCGGGTGAGCCGACGACCCCTGGCGGCACAGCCGCCGGCGTCGGACGCACTGCTGTGGGGGGGGGGGGGGGGGGGGCGACGCTCGCAAAGAGTGACACGACCGCGTCAGACTGCCCGCAAAACTCTGGCCGATGGCGAGCGATTGTCGCTTCCGGCTCTCACGTGCGGCCCGGGCTTGAATCCAGGTTGCGTCATGGCCCCTCAGCACTAATGTGGTAGCTGCAGCCGCTGCCACTCCATTCAAGAGTACACAGCCGCGTGCACCGTGTCCCTGTTCTAAAGGCATACCATACAAACTGAGTGAGCCGCCTGCGTGGCTGGTATGATTGCTGATTGTACGTGTGGCGCCTGATCCGTTTGCTGCACTATATGGAGTGGTCCAAAGGCAGCGTTTGTTGGAATGTCAACTGCTCCCTGCATCAGGACATTCGAGCGTTTGCGCTTGCTTTCAGCCAGGAAGCTGGTGCATACTCGACGAATGTGTAAAAGCTATCCACGTGGGGAATCGAAGGTCACCTGCGTGGAGGACTGCCTCTTCCGCATAATTTTGGAGAACATCACCTGTGCTGTGCCATGGATAAACCGGCTTCAAATGCGCTTCAAAAATCTATACACGTTACCAACCTGCGTAACACAAAGCGGTAAGGAACATGCCCTGCGCATGTGCAGACGTGACGCGGGTTAGTAAGTAATGTCATACATGACGCTGATATTGCTGGTCAAATGTCTGTTTTGTTATGGGCGTATGATGAAATATGTATGTTCGGAGTGCAACGACTGGCACGAATAGTTGTCCATTGCCGTGACATGCACGACTTCCCCACTTCGGTGTCATCAGTGTTAAAAGGATCGAGCTTCCGTACTGCTTACCTTTGTTTAAGAACCACAGCCTGCCAAGCGTTGCAAACTTATCACAGTAAGGGGCAACCCATTCCACACGAATCAGCAGCTAAATCCTTAACAAAATAGGAGTTGGGAGTGCTGGTAAGTCAGGTCAGATGATGAGTATTTCCGTCAGCCTGACCTGAAGTCAAAAGGGATGCGCACCAACATGCACTCATGATGACTTCCTCCGTGCAGACGCCAACTGGACAAGGTCGGTGGTGGTGAAGTGGTTCGACTCGACGCCAGACGACGCGTGCCAGCGCCTGTGCGCGCCAGACTGCCAGGAGCTCATCATCAGCCCGACTGTGCGCAGCAACTTGGCAGGCGACAGGCCCCAGCTGGTGGTGCTGCTGTCAGACCAGCTGCCCGTGTTCAGAGAGATGGTCACGTACGACATGGGCCAGCTGCTGGTCGAGGCGACGGCCATCCTCGGCTTCCTTCTGGGCGTGTCGCTGGTGGCGTGTTGTGACTGGCTGCTGGGCGCGTCACTGTGGCTGACCGGCCGGCTGCCGCTGCTGCCCGCCCTGCCGCCCATCGTGAAGCGTGAGCTCCACACCGGCGGCATCTGGCGCCGTGTGCCGTGCGGTTCGTGCGGCAAACGACGGCCGGACAGTGGCGGAAGCGACGAGCAGCGCGGCCCGGCCGCCGCCCGGTCCGAGCCCGACGGCCCCGCCTTCCCGGCCATCGCCGTGCGCACGAGCGTCTTCAGCACAGTCATGCAGGTGCTGGGGCTGCTTGACCGTTACGTTGAGCCGCAGCGGCGGCAGGAGCCAGGTCAGGGTCACCTAGAGTGGGCGTTCACTATGGGGCGCGCAGAGAGGAGGCGGCTGCCGCTGCTGGAGAAGCTGCCGAGGAATAGTCCATTGGTCGACGACGAGGACAAGGAGCACGCTGAGACGCCAGAACACCGTCTGCTGGACACCGAAATGCTCGCGATGTTCGTGGCGCCCACGGGGCGTAACAAGCGGGCGCACACGCTCTTCCAAGCTGTTGGGGTCACTAAGGGCAGTAGTCAGTACAATATGGACGGATGGGAAGAACATGAAAAAAGGCACGGAAGCGACGCCTCAGCACCGGACCATTTCCCGCATGATGCACAGTATGACCCACATCACGACCCACAGTATGACCCACGATATGACTCACAGTATGACCCACAATATGACCCACAGTATGACCGACACAGTTACCCATCCTCTCATCCTCACTATGGCTCAGCACTAGATCCGCAGCCAAGGACACTGCCAGAGGCAACACCAGACACGGCACCAGCGCCAGGGCCGCCATCGGCCCCAGCGTCAACGCCACCGTCAGGCTCAGTGCCGGCTCCAAGGGCGGCAGGTAGCCAGACGGCCCCCGAGCAAGCCAAGTCCACACTGCCGAAAATCGACGCGCCCAACCGGTCTGGCAGCCCCACCAGTCCGAGGGGCCGAGAGCCGTCACTGGCCGGGACGAGCGGGCCCCGACAACAGCGGGGACCGTCGCTGGCCGAGCCGAGCGGGTCCCGACAGCGGGAGCCGTCGCTGGCCGAGCCGAGCGGGCCCCAACAGCGGGGGCCGTCGCTGGCCGAGCCGAGCGGGTCCCGACAGCGGGAAGCGTCGCTGGCCGAGCCGAGTGGGCCCCGACAGCGGGGGCCGTCGCTGGCCGAGCCGAGCGGACCCCGACAGCGGGGACCGTCGCTGGCCGAGCCGAGCGGGCCCCGACAGCGGGGGCCGTCGCTAGCCGAGCCGAGCGGGCCCCGACAGCGGGAACCGTCGGTGGCCGAGCCGAGCGGGCCCCGACAGCGGGAACCGTCGCTGGCCGAGCCGAGCGGACCCCGACAGCGGGAACCGTCGGTGGCCGAGCCGAGCGGGCCCCGACAGCGGGAGCCGTCGCTGGCGCAGAACCAGAGTCAGACGCTCCCAGCCGAGCCGCCGGAGCCGGCAGACGAAGGCGCCGGCGCATCTAAGAAGGAGGACTAGCTGCCCGGCTTTAATGAAGAGGCGGGAGTAGTGGCCCAGGCGCAAGTGGTGTGGTGGCGGTCAGTGCCGAGGTGACCCCAGGCGCAGGCGGTGTGGTGGCGATCAGTGCTGAGAGCGGGAGCGAGTGCTTGTGAACAGCGCCATGTCACTTGGAATGAGAGAAACGGAAACTTGGGCTCGTGAGGAGAGCCTAGGCGAAAGCCCAAATGGTCGAATCTGCTCCACTTCTACGTGCATAGATTAAGGTCATGACCCCTTATCGTGATGCGGTCACTTCTGCGTTTGACCTACTTGGGTCGAGTGCTTTTAAGACAGACATGTAAGCATGTTTTGCATGCTTACATGTCTGTCTTTTGTTGTAAGCATGCAGACATATTTTCTGTAGATATGTAAGCCTGTAAGCCTGTAAATACAAACTGTTACAAGTGATGTTATCACAAAAATATCTGCAACTCAAACAGACTGACGGTACATACTTATATGACATGTCCCATTACAAATGCTTAAGACATTGCACACCTTGAGACAGCTTTAAAAGCCCCAGGGTCTCTGACTATCCGTTTGCTCTTAGTTCGGACATAATCAAGTAGAGAAGGAGGCAGTAGTTGCACTCAGCAGAGCTGTGGCAGTCAAATTGAAAGTGCAGGGCTCAGCCATGGAACCTCCCGTCTCGCATTAGATGAAAAGACCCAGGGGAGCCATATAACACTACTTGACAAGTTAAGCCTATTGGAAAGTTTGCAGGCCCATAGGTAAGACAAGAGTAATAGCCTTACTCCTCAGATAAAAATCCGGGGAATAGAGATATAGATGCGTTGGTATTTCCGCAACATGCGAAACGAATAGCAGAAGCCGGCGAGCAACAGCTTTTACGGGTCTCCAACGTTCAGGGCATTAAACATTGAGCGACCGCAAGGCAGCACTACGATTCAGCGCATATCTAATAGGAATGCGAAAAAATATGTGTACGTACAAACGAATTGAAGCAAGCAGGCATCCCGCATTACGCTTCATCAAACGTGCAAGCAGTTAAGAAAACAATGATCACACATCACGCATCAGTTATACATACGTTCGACTTCGGCTAAATAGGCATCGCGCATCTCGCGTTCGGCATCGCCCATGCATATAAACGATTTTAAGCTCGACGCATCATACATACAGGCACATATCACGTTGGCAAAGTCGGCCATGATGCACAATTTACGCTTGATTTCGTAAACAACATTTTTTTGCGTACAAGTCCCTTGCAGCTCAAACTTACATCAAAGCCCCCCAAAAATGCCTATTGCCACCCGGGTACTTAGGCTTGAATATTTTTTCCAGAGACTTTTTAGCTTATTGTCGTTCTTCCAAACTATGCGTACGCGCAGTTTTAATTTTCTAACGATATGTTTGATTTCCTAAGCCCCCTATGCTCCCTAAAACAAATGCTCGTCTATGCAAGGTAGCGTTAAGAACCCGTCTTCCGATAGGACATGACATGGGCATGCCTCCTACCGCCCATTCCCCCTGCGCTCTAGGTTTTTTTTTTCTTCTTCCGAAATTCTACCAAAAAGTCGCTGAGAATATTCATTGCCAAACAGCAAAGTCCAAATTTCGTGTGTTCTCTTTCTTTCTTTTTCACCACTTAATGAATTGTTTAGACCCCTACGGAACATGCTGTGAGTTATATTGTGCTTAGTGGAAGTTGGATGTACAGATTCGCAGTGCAGAATTATACCAGAGCAGGTGGGCTTGATAAAGAGCTCTGTTTCAAACGATGTGCGATCACTAGTGTATCCAAATGACGTTGGACAGTGTGGCAGGGGAAAGGAGGAACAGCCGCACAACGTTGGAAAGAGAGCTCTTTAAAAAGCCCACCAACTGTGACATATTTCTGTACTGCAAATCGCGTATCAAACTTCCCCTAAACACAGTATAATTCGCAACATGCCCCATAGGGCTCTAAACAAGTCACCAAGTAGTGAAAAGGAAAACAAGAGTGTAAACAAAAGGTAGACTTTGCTGTTGGGCAATGGATATTCTCCACGACTTTGAAGGTAGAATATTGTAAGACTTAAAATAATCTAGAGCGCAGGGGGAATGGGTGGTAGGGGCGAGAGCACGTTTTATCGGACGACGGTTCCTTAACGCTACTTTACATAGATGAGCACATGCCTCGGAAGATCAGATATATAATTAGAAAATCAAAGCTGTGCGTGCGCATAGCTTAAAGGAACGAAAATAAGCTAGAAAGTCTCAGGTTGAATTCCTCTGTCCCGATGCCTATGTGTCCGCGTGGCAATAGACATAATTTATGCAGGTCAGGGCTGCAAGGGGTTTGCATGAAAAAAGCGATTTACAAAATCAAGTGTAAACTGTGTGAGAAAGATGGGAGAGACACAATCTATGTCGGGGAGCCCATGCGCCCTATCTGTTTGAGACGTAATGAACACCCGCGATACGCTGAAAACAAAAGAGGAAATACCCCTTTCGTGGGCAGTTTCTTGGCTGAAAACGGACAGGCTGGAATTCCGGGAGGCCATATGCCCCTTTAAAGCTCAAAGTCATCTGCAGAGCACTGAACCACCCAAAGAGCGATATAAGTAGATCTGTTCTTATAAAACTTGGCGACCAAACAATAAATTTTCTGCGAAGAAAGAAGCTATTCTTACCGACTAATCCATGTGCATAATGTTCCTCGCAAATGCACTTGCAAACGTACGTGAGTTTGCAGGCTGTTAACAGAGCTACGACCAAAAACTTTCTTGGTTCTGCTAAGCCGGCCTCATGGGATAACAAATATATTTTGTCTTGATCTCGTGCCTCAATTAAATACTTGTTCAGCTAAATGAATTTACGACCAGTATCATGAACTGTCTGTTTGGAAACTGAAATAAAACAGAGCAGGATGACTGTCTGCATGCGATAATAGAGCTTTGCCATGTGTTTACATCAGGCTTATGCAGTCAAAACGGCCGTAACCGCTGTAATCAGAAGCATACCTATAGGCTGCATAACATAAAAAAATCCGTGGTACTTGTCCTGAGTTCAAACGACTCGATCACATTCTTGTAAAGACGAAAGCTTTCGACGGTGTGTACTTTGAACAGAAAAAGCATGAACAGTCTTGGTTTCCGGTTGCCTCATTGCCAGACTCATTTCATCACATTGTCTCAATCGTCACCTTGTCCTCATCACATTACCTCAGTGCTAACAACTGTATCGCTGAGTACAGACGGCGTAAGCGGGTCTTATTTACATTGCCCACTGACGAACCCGAGACGTGCTCGAAACCGGCTGTACAAAGCAACATGACCATTTAGCCCCATGTCTGCACTAAACGTTACAGTTCTTGACTTTGAAGTGTTCCACATTTTGCAGCGTTTTAAATGAGATAGCCATCTTGAGGATTATTTGGTGCAGCACAGCACAGCAGCAGCAGCATAACATAACATAACAGATCTAAAACTCGCTAGTTTCTGTGCTACAGGTGCGCAAAGATGTACAAACTTTTCCGTGCAGAATATTTCGAGGTTATTCAGGCAAGGTTGACGCCATAGAACCGTCATTCAAACCCTGCTGCCACCATACTGGCCATGCGTCGTTTAAGAACAGTAAGAATACAACGTCCCACCGTTGATATCTGGCGTTCATGAGCACGATTTCCAAATATAATGCACGCCAACTGGCTCTCAATCGATGTTGAGCAAGCTGTGCCAGTTTCAATCACAAATGACGTTTCGTGCTAAATGATATGAGAAGTTGGGCATGGGTGTTAGATATTACGGAAATAAGACTTGTAATTCAATAACTTAGACCTAACTATGCTTAACACTTAACTTCACTATATTTCCGCAGACATGGCCTTGTAAGGCGAGTTTTGAAAGTTATATTGTATGTTTAGCCATTTAAATAATTCAAAGTTTAAGAGGAATCCAAAAAATAGGACGTTCATTGAAACACTTCATGTAAAAGTTTGTTTTTGTATCAAAGCATTTCAACAGGCTGGACCATCTCAACCTCGCCGACGTTTCGCACCTTGCGAAAAGCAGGACACTCGATGACGAAAATAAGGTGAACAGATGTCAAACATAAATAAAGGTAAATGGGCCTACAAGTGCATACGAAGCTGTGTGCTGAGGCCCATATCGAGCATGTACCCCTGTATGTAGTTTTGTCGTGATGCCCGCTCAGCCCCAGTATTTATAACGATCAACAGTCTCTGAGAGGGCCTGCTATCGATGAAAAGAACGGACAAATATACGATTTTCTGTTTAAGCAGGTAAGTTCATATTGCTAGATGGTGCCGAATGCATGGAGACTCAGCGAGACAAAGTCATAGTCCTAGCTGTGTAGCCATTGCCTTTTACTCCGCGTGCCTTACGCCTTTAGTCCGCCGCATTGACTCTAGCCGATCGCCCGGGGCGCATTTTCGCCTGGGGGCCGCGGCCGGACCCCCATCTGTCGGATCACTCTGACGGCGTGTCTACAGGGCGGAGAGGGCCCGTCCCGTACCGTCACGGTCCGACACACCACCCACCAGCGGGCCGAGAGGGCCGGTCACGCACCGCCGGGCCCTGACAGGCCGTTCGCCAGCAGTCCTGAGCTACATGCAGCGCGCCCGCCCCGTCAGGGCGCGCGCCGGGGCCGCGGCCGGTGTCCAGACAGCACTGCTGCCGTCGCTGGACCCAGGCACGCCGCATCAGGAGTCACAGGCGCGCCCGTGTGCCACATCAGGAGTCGCAGTCGACCAAGGTGTCACATTAGGAGTCACAGGCACGCCGAGGTGCCACATCAGAAATCACAGGCGCGCCAAGGTGCCCCATCAGGAGTCGCAGGCGCGCCCAGGTGCCACTTCAGGAGTCACAGGCGGCCAATGTGCCACATCAGCAGCCCCAGACGGCCAAGGTGTCACATCAGCGGCCACAGGCGGCCCAGGTGTCACATCAACAGCCACAGGCGGCCAATGTGCCACATCAGAAGTCACAGACGCGCCCAGGTGTCACATCAGGAGT